GATAAAATTCAAACCCGAATATTGCGGGTAATAGATGAGGGTGTGTATGATTTTTTCACTATCCAATCCGAACCAACCCGATTATACAATACCCATGCGTATGTATTCTATTTACAATGGTCATTATTTTCTCAATATATTTGATATTTATCATGCATATATAACATTTTCATGAAATTGTATTGTTTTTAACTATTTTTTTCATTCTAATAATTTATTATTGTAAATTTTCATTTATGTAATGTCAACATAAGTATAATTATTAACATGTTGGTTGAAGTTATAAAGATAAATTATTTATCGGGATAACCTTGAATTCTCGAAATCCGATCGAGTATGAGTATGATTTTGATATTCTACCTGATTCGTATAAAGGTATGAGTAAAACCTTGAATTCCCGTCCCAACCAATTGTCATCCCTTTCCACATCGTGCACCCAATCCTTCAATTACTGTCTGGGAGTTGCTCGACGGATTCATCGTTCTATCGTTTGATCATTAAATTAGATGTTCAAATTTTGCTCATAGATATATTAATTACTTCATACTTATAAATTGTAAATCGCCTTGTATGATCATCTGTGACCATAAATTGATTAAGATGTTCAACGGCGAGTATGATATGATATTTAAAAACGATCGAAAAACAACTTGCTGTATAGAGTACACGCTTTTGCAGCAGAGTTTAAAGGGAAAGTGATCACTATCATTGATGTCTAACTCAAGACAAAGATGGTGTTCTTTGGGATCTTTAACAACAAATGTTTTCAAAGTTACACCGTCCGCATTGAGAAAAAAGAGTCAAATTACTAGGCTGGAAATGATTGATGTTTTCGATTATGTTTAAATGCTTCTTGTACGTGATAAACTCCATTGACATGAATTAAAGATCTTAGGAAATATTCATGACTCTATTCTTGATCATCATCCTAGCTAATGTTTATCTCAAAACCCCCTCTTTTCTTCGAGTTTATAGTATTACAAAAAGGAAAAAAAATTATCCTCGGAAAAGTGTTCAAGAGATTCATGAGATGAATATTACGTTATTTATTATGTGGGTATCCTTATATTTTTCACAAATCTTTCAAACCAGTATCGGGGAGAGCATCATCGTAGCCAAATTCATCAATTCCAAGCACACTTACAAACCTCCTGACTCAATATAGCTAGTTGGTCATCACAGCTACACATTAACCCTTGTGTTTTATGTTTGGTTTTCTAATATTAATTTGTTACGCAGTTTGATTATTGAGTCCCAGTTCACAAACTTGCCGATTAGGTATTACACATAAAAAAAACTCTTGTATTTTAGACTTACCCTTACCATCGAGCTAGGCATTGATGAATTATGAGAGTGAAACTATAAATGTTGTGAAAGTGACCATTGCAAAGGGACCAATTAATTTTATAAAGCACAAAGAGGGGGGTGAATTTTTTGCAAATTGGGGGAAAGAAAGGAGGGGCCAGGTGGGTTTTATAGCCACCACATAACTCACAATTATGGCAACTCCAAGTTGATGGTGTGTACATTGTTGTCCAAGTATATATAATCTCCTAAAAAAATTAAAAACAATTGTTTGTAAAAAAAATAATTATAATAAAAAATGAAAGAAATTGGTAAAGCCCACCATGCACTCAACACTGACTGCTCATCAGCAGCTGTTTAGCAAATTCAATTGTGAAGGAGACACCCAGCTTCCTCCATCCCCCTTTTTCTTGGATTAAGGAAGACCACTTTCCAAACAAGCAAACAATAAGCCCTAGGGGGAAGAAAACAGAGAACAAGAAAACCCAATCTATGATCAAGTCTATCCCTCTACTAAACAAGTGGAAATGTAGTAGGGTTGGTGTGGTAATTATTAGAGTGTGAAATGATGATATATACCGTCTGTAAATTTGATAAAAGAGTTACCGGTTCAATGTTATATCGAGTTAACCATTGATTTTTTTTTATTTATCAACCGATGGTAGGTGTATATTATATATATGTCTTATGTCTATTTTAATAATTGAGTTGAGGTGATTTCTCTTGTTAGGGAACAGTTTTTGACGTACAGTTAGCTTCCTTCGATGTTCTATTAAAATAAAATTACATGGGTTAATTAGTATTACGATTTGTGATAGGTTTATAACACTATTTCACCCATGACTTATTTTTTTTACGGTGGTTGGGTGAAAAGGAGAATGATGTAGTAGCTACAGTTACAGGAGCAAGCCACCACATGGATTATATGGGCCGTCAAAATCAGCAACAACAAAAAAAAAAAACACACACACACACACTCTCTCTCTCTCCCTCTTCTTTAGCTACCAGCCAGGCGCCAGCAGCTCCACCAAGCAAAATAAGGAGGCCAAAGAAAAACGTCTATAAATACCAACCAAATGTGCCCCCATTTATCTCTTCAACTCACAACAATCCCCAACTCACATTTTTCACACACACTTCTCTACTGCTCCTCTCTCAAACCCTTCTTCTCTTTCTCCTGTGTGTGCATTTGATATAGCCAGGGAATTTGGGGGATTCTTCACTTCTCCATAAAAGGGTTCAAGATCCCAAATATTCCACACTCTAGATTCTCTCTTGCAGAATCCTCTCATCCCAAACCTAACTGTACTCTAGCTAGGTTGGGCAGCAACAGGGGGTGCTGATCATCATCATCATCAGTTGATTCTGACCTTTAAAAAATGGCCAATTGTATGAGGGAGCTTTGTACTATTAATCACGAGGTTCGTCGTTCTTCTTTGGCCTTTGATGTCTTTTTATGCTACATGTTCTCTTCGAATCCTGTTAAGTAAGTCGATATCATCGAGAAAAATATATTGACGTGTGTCGCGCGTGAAATGTGCAGGGAAAGAAAGTGAATGATGTGGAAGATCACGAGGGGTTTGGTGGTCGAGATTATGGGGATGAGATGAGTGCAGGTACTATTACGATGGACGGGACAGTGGATTGGAAAGGGCGGCCGGCGATCAAATCCAAATCAGGGCAGTGGACTGCCGGAATCATCATCCTTCGTATGTTTTCTCCACCACTAATTAATAATATTCGTCTTGCAAAAAGAAATTATATTCCCTTTTTTCTTGGCGTTTTCTATTAAAAAAAAATCTGTTTTTTCTGCCCTGGTTTTGTGGGGGTGTCGACAAACAAACACAAAGAGTGAGGTGATAAGAGGAGCTACTTTTCTTCTCTTGTTTTTTTTTTTTCTTTATATTTTTTTCCAGTTTTTTTTTTAAAATTAATTTGGGGTAAATAATTTTGACTATACGCACATTTTGAGGGAGTTTGTTAGTGCTGAATAACGACAGCAGTTTTTTATTATTTACTGCGTAAAATCTGTTGAACAATCAGTAACTAATTGTTCACACGTTATTTACCTCAACCATCTTTATTTAAATATAAATATTTAAAAGAAAACCCCTATTATAAGCTGCATGCATGGCTGGATTCCATATTCACAGCATGCAGAAATGTCGGGCGCCGCCGGTGGCATCGAACTGATTTGCTCGAAATTAGGATGGGAAATCTAAAGGTCGTTTTCTCAATTCTGGCCGGAAAATTGGCCGGAAGGTTAGTGATCAGATAGGTGTTGGTGACACGTAACGGAGGAAAAGAGTAAATTGAATGTTCACTATTTTAGTATTTTTTCCCCTCCTTCCACGTGGTATTTCTAGCAAAATTTTCCAATTATTGGAAACCACATGGTACACACAACTATCACAAATAACATAAAAACGAAAACATCTTCCCACCTTTCTCCACCACGCGTTTCGTTAAGAGTTTGTGTGTTTGTTTGTTCATGTTTATGAAGTTGTATCGTATCAACTTGTAATGCTAGTCGAAAAATTGCGTACAGAACTATGTTGAGTACGATTTTAGACTAATTCTTTCGATCTTTTATGGGAATTTGCATTGGTTTGTACTACATACACCAAATTCTACGTACGAAAGATTTAAGCTGTTTTATTTTTGTTTGTTTTAACACTTAAAGTAAGTGCACTCAAGATTGTTTTTTTAGGCCCACAAATCAATTTCGACCAAACTAACTTTAATGGATGAAAAGAGGCAAATTAGTCACCCAATCTAGCAATTCCCATCATCCTCTCTCTCTTAACATTCCTTGGTGTGTATCGTTTGTTTCTGATTGTGGGGTTGCGTGAGTTTCTTTGGTTCCTTAGTTAATGCCCTTTGAGAAATAGATAGATGGATACATGAACAAGACAAGCTAGGCTAGGGCTTGGATCGAAGTTGCCATAAAGACACAAGTGTGTAGGCACCACATGACTTGGGAAAGCTTGTCTTAAATGATGCCCTTGTGTTGGTGGTCATGAATAGGTCTCCTCTCCCCCTCAAATTCTTCAATCATTGCTCTCACTTTCTCAAAACTTTGCCAAAATCAAAATTGAATTGGAACTCTCGAAAACTGAAAAAATATCGATCAGGTTAAAAATAAAACATTAGCTAGAATTGCACGTTCTTGTAACTTAATGTATATGTCTATCTTTGGAAATAATGTCGTTGGAAGATTAAGATTTAAGAGCCAACTGTTAAGTGACATTTTTCACTTTGTTGGGGGCGAATTTCTCAATTATTGACTCGCTAAACTGGTTCTTACTGGAACATGAATTATTTTTTCTGGGTATTTACATCATTGACCTGTAAGAAAAATTAAACAAGTTAGGATTCAAGTTTTCGTGACTTTCCGTTTTATCTCCTCTCGGACCAATTTTCAATGTGATGTGAGCTGTGATGACTTCCTTTTCTAATGTGGAAAGTGATTGCTTTGTGTTTTTTTGCAGTGAACCAAGGGCTGGCTACCTTGGCATTCTTTGGAGTTGGAGTGAACCTGGTGCTATTTCTTACCAGAGTTCTGCAGCAGGACAACGCTGAAGCTGCCAACAATGTCAGCAAATGGACTGGAACCGTGTACATATTCTCCCTTGTTGGTGCTTTCCTCAGTGACTCCTACTGGGGAAGATACAAGACTTGTGCCATTTTTCAAGGCATCTTTGTCATGGTAAAAACCTTAACTAAAGCATCATTTTCGATCAAAATTTGATCTTGGTTGTGCAAAAATCTCAACAGTTCTGTGTTTCTACAAACAGGGTTTGGTGTTACTGTCACTGTCATCATACCTCTTCTTGCTCCGCCCAAAAGGCTGTGGGGATGCCATAACTCCCTGCGGAGTACACACCAACATGGAAGTAGGACTCTTCTACCTCTCCATCTACCTCATTGCCCTAGGAAATGGAGGATACCAGCCCAACATCGCGACATTCGGAGCAGATCAGTTCGACGAGGAAGACCCCATCGAAGGACACTCCAAAGTCGCCTTCTTCAGCTACTTCTACCTGGCCTTGAACTTGGGCTCCCTCTTCTCCAACACCATCTTGGGCTACTTCGAGGACGAAGGCGTGTGGGCGATAGGATTCTGGGCGTCTGCTGGCTCTGCCTTCGCTGCTCTGGTCCTGTTCCTCGCGGGTTCGAGCAGGTACCGCCATTTCAAGCCCACGGGGAACCCATTGGCGCGGTTCTGTCAGGTGCTTGTGGCGTCCATAAAGAAGTGCAAGTTTGCATTGGGAGGAGATGGCGATGGCTTGTATGATGTGGATGCCAAAGACGGCTCTGGCAGTGGGAATGGGAGGAAGATCCTGCACACTCATGGATTCAAGTAAGCATAATGCTCGTTTGGGATCGTCATAATCTCGATTCCAAGTCTCGTAATCTTACGGTTCTTGTGCTGTTTTTTTCTCTCATCAGGTTTCTGGACAGAGCAGCTTACATTTCATCAAGAGATATAGATGATCAGAAGAGAGGTTACCGTAACCCGTGGAGGCTGTGCCCTGTATCACAAGTAGAGGAAGTGAAATGCATACTGAGACTCCTCCCCATCTGGCTCTGCACCATCATCTACTCCGTCGTCTTCACGCAGATGGCCTCCCTGTTCGTCGAGCAAGGCGCTGCAATGAACACAACCATAGCCAACTTCAAGATCCCACCAGCCAGCATGTCGAGCTTTGACATCCTCAGCGTGGCCCTCTTCATCTTCCTGTACAGACGAGTACTGGACCCTTTGGTCGCGAGGATCAGGGGAACGAGTGCCAAGGGGCTTACCGAGCTGCAGAGGATGGGGATCGGGCTCGTGATCGCCGTAGTAGCGATGGTTTGTGCAGGGACCGTGGAGTGCTACAGGCTCAAATATGCACAGAAGGATTGCCTGCGTTGTGAAGGGTCGAGCTCCTTGAGCATAATGTGGCAGATACCGCAGTATGCGCTGATAGGAGCCTCCGAGGTTTTCATGTACGTCGGGCAGTTGGAGTTCTTCAACGCTCAGGCCCCCGACGGGCTCAAGAGCTTTGGCAGTGCGCTGTGCATGACCTCGATCTCGCTTGGGAACTACGTGAGCAGCCTGCTGGTGACGATGGTGATGAAGATCTCGACCGTGGACCATATGCCAGGGTGGATCCCGGGGAATCTGAACATAGGTCACCTTGACAGGTTCTACTTCCTGTTGGCCGCCCTGACGTCGCTCGACCTGTTTGTGTACATTGCTTGTGCCAAGTGGTACAAGAACATCAAGCTTGAAGGGAAGAATAACAGCAACTCGGAAGAAGAAGAAGATGATGATTATAGTGATGATAGCCACAAGTGTGAAGTCTAAGTTATGTAACTTGGTCTGTGTTAACAAGTTGAAGCATTGTAGCAAGCAGTATAGAATGAATAAACTGAGAGTGGAATGGGTTTCTTTAGCTTCTGCAGAAAGAGGGGAATGTGTGCTAATCTGATCTAAGCTAGGGATTGGGAAATGAGGAAGGTTTTTAATGAGAGTGGCTGTAAGCCTGTAACTTTTGTCAGCAACCCTCATTCTAGATCTAGCCCTAGAAATCAAGTGTATGATTATCAGCAAGTTCAATGTTCAGAGAATGAATTGGCTTCCATCCTACACAGTACTGTCTTCTTCAAGCGCTGCTGTAACTGCAGATACTCAAAGCTACTTTTCGACAAACATGAAAACCGATAAAAGCATGTAAACTTCAAGTAGACAAGTAAGAATAATCGACCTTCGTACTTCATTGATATAAAAAGATGATGAAATGACGAGACTTAAAGTTGTCTCTGTTAAACAATGCCAGCAGCAGCGAAGAGAGCAAGCAAGAACATGGGGACTAAACAGGAACACAGAGCCATCAGGCAGAAGCCGATGCAAAAACTTCTGGCTGACGGGGTTTTATTCGTCCAAGTGAAGAGGATTTTACAACAAACAATCATCACACGAGAAAAAAAATCCACTAAGATCTTCGGCTGTTCATGCAATGAAAATTTTAATGCATGTATTGATAAACAAATGCTTCATATAACGTGCAGCTAGTTCACAGCAACCCTACTTAAGTTAAGAAAACAAAGAAAGCTCCATACGGTCCTTAAAAATCAACTCTGAACCTCTCGAACTTGGATGTGGTGGGTTGACTCCTCACGCCAAATCGGTTGAGCTCCGCTCTGGACGAGAGTAACGTGCTGCCCTTCCACCAACAGACCCTTGTCCTGTAACATGGCGAACATCGGATTAAGGTTTTGTGGAAAAGATGTGGTAACGAAGAGAGGACGAGATGATTAGGAGGAATGTTCACTAACCATTAGGAGCCTATGTGCTCGGGAGAAGGTCTCATCTGCATCATTCGAGAACTCCATATAAATTGGCATAACCCCCTGGTAAAGTACCAGTCTCTGCTTTATCCTTTCGCTGCAAAAAGAGCATGAACATAGATCATTAGAAGTGGAGGCAGAGAATGAAAATGTGACAGGCATCTAACACGGAATAGGACTTACTCATTGGTGAAGGCGAAAATTGTCGAGGAAGGACGGTAATGACTCAACTGCACTGCCATGGAACCAGTTCTCGTGAAAACGATGATTGGTGTATTGAGAGTGTTTGCCATGATTGTAGCATGAAAGGCAAACATATCACCCATATGGCTCTGCAGAACATAATACCCAGCAAAAAGGGATCAGGTTGCAAGACACTAAAAGGATCACAATTTCAACTGTTGCTGAACAATGAACATGGTATCAGAACCTTCACATTGCATTCATCGTTCGTTCATAGGAACCCCGAGTTTTCATTCAGGAAAAAAGAAGGGAAACAAGTGTTCTGAGTCTAGCTAGAAGCTACCTTGTGTGCTCCAGTCGGGGGAGCTGTGTTTGATGGCAAACTTGCCTCTGTCCTCAATGCCACGGTATGCATTACTTTAACAGCCTTCAATGGATATCTTTAGAAAGATAGGCTAAACGTCAGTTCAAGGTGAAAAGATTACAAAAGATAGCTCACACTTGAAACAAAATTTACACAGAGAGGAATACTGAATTGAAGAGTGATTGTGCATGTATACCCAAGTTCAATGTCAAGAATAAATCAAAATAGATGTTTTCAGCCCCGTTACCACTAGGCCGACATTTGTTGCCGACATTTGTTGGGTTTAGAAAGCGAGAACTTGGAACTTTAAATGATGCATTAGTATATCAGCTCCAACCCATGAAATCCAAAAGATAATGAAGTGAGGTATGCCGAACTGAAAAAAAAAACCTAAGGATCTATTCCTAGAACAAAGATCCCAAACCATTGCTGATCCCAACCAATGATCATTCTGACGAGGCCAGCTCGCCTAGCTACAAAAACTGGATGTATTTCAATGAAGGGGGATTCGAAGCATGACTTCAAGTAGATAACAGGCATTGAGACTGACTAGTTCAATTGAAGACATGTGTCAAGATAAGGTCCTCCAGAATAGAACATAATCACACCGTTAAATTACCCTTGCATTCAAGTTTCTTTTGGTAACATGGATATGGCTGAATAAAGAAAATACATTGTAAGCAACATCAAGCTACTTTTAACTATACTGCTGATACCCGAAAGAAATTTCTAGCTTATACCAGTTTATGAGGGAAGTGCAACCTGTCAGTTAATGAATTGCTAAGTTTGTAAAGAACGTAAGAACAAACACGTAAGTTATTGACTTGAGTTCACTCACTTTCCGTGTGCAGTTTCTCCAGAAAGCATGATAGCATCAGCTCCTTCACGAACTGCAATTGCTATATCAGATACTTCAGCCCTTGTTGGTGTAGGGTGATTGATCATACTTTCTAGCATGTTTGTCGCCACAATAACTGGCTTCTGCATGCTGTGGCACCTTCTAATGATATCTTCCTGTAAACAACAGAGAGAAAATAGCATTATAAAAAAACAAAACAACATAGAGAAAATAGAAACAAGGAATTTGAATCAAGCAAGTCACTGGCAAAAACGGCCACCGACCATCAATAGACATTCTTGGACGCTCATATTGTAAAAACCAAACAACAGGAAACCAATCTGGCTCCTTTTAGGATCTCAATTAGAGTTAAAGATAAATTGTATCGATCATGGAATCAGTCAGCCATTTGGTATCATCTTTGCTTAGTTCTGACAACTAGACACCTCCACAGCAATATCTTTCTCCTATATACATCCTTCCAGTGAAGTTCTAACATGAATATGACCCGTATTATTTTCTAGTTGCTTTTTTCAAAAGCCCAGTACGAGTATTACCTGCAACAGAGGAACTTCCTCGATTGGAAGTTCAGCACCGAGGTCTCCACGAGCGACCATAGCCTGCATAGAGTAAGGGGCCATAAACACTAAGTAGTAAATTCCAATGTATCTAGAAATCAAACCTCGTCAATAGACGTCTAATGTGTTAATTAACAAAATTTAAACTGTCAGTGATCAAGAATACTGAAAACTAACCCCATCGGAAGCAGAAAGTATTGAATGAAGATTTGGAATAGAATCAGCACTTTCTATCTTTGGGATCACATGGATGTCTGCATTGTTGCCTACACAAGGTTTTCAACAGTAAAAGGTTAGATGAGAAGAAACAAAGGAGCATTATGTGCAGACCAATTAAAGTGAGAAAGTGAAAAATTGGCTCACTCTTAAGATAATCCTTCAACTCATGGATCACGTTAGCATCCTTAACGAATGAGACAGCATAAAAATCAACCTGGTTGTCCACTCCAAATTTGATATCATCCCAGTCCTTGTCTGCTCAAAATTTCAATTCACAGCAAACAGAATTGTTTTCATTAGGGTGGTAAGAGAGGAATGAAGCAAATCACTTAAGTGCACACATACAGCTCCATAATCAAAAGAAATGTAGCATTGAAGGATGAAAATGAACACTTACCTGTAATTGATGGAAGAGTTGCACTTTTACCACGCACGTTCAAATGACGACGTGATTTTAGTTCCCCACCATCAACTACTTCACATTTGACCACCTCCTTTGACTTAGCTGTCACAACTAACGACATCATTCCACCTACCAAAGCAAGCAGAAAACAAATCAAAATTTCTTTCAAGCAGGATACAGATAAAATGTCTTAAAATATAAGCTACATCATTCCCCTAAATCCCCTCGCACCAAAATCGGCCATTCAACTTCATCAGACCTCAATACTTACCATCCACAAGTAGAGTATCTCCAACCTCCACATCATTCACGAAGTCGTCGTAATTCACACTCACGGTGTCCTCAGTTGCAACACCTCTTTCGATTGTGAAATTAAATTCTTGACCCTCCTCGAGATTGATTGGCTGAGGCAAATCTCCACTCCTAACCTCAGGACCCTACATCAAGACCAGGACCCCAAAAGTCTTCAACATATAGAATGCAGACCAAATTATGCAATGGACTTGTTTTCCACAAGCAAAATGCAAATGCAGTACCTTGGTATCTAGCATTATCGCAATAACTTTGTCCTCAAACTGCGCATTATACTCTTTAACCAGATCAACCGTCTTCTGATGCGAGGCATGGTCTCCATGCGACATATTCAAACGAGCCACGTTCATCCCAGCTTCTGCAAGTTTCCATATCATTTCTCGAGAACTCGTGGATGGACCGATCGTGCAAACTATCTTTGTCTTCCTCAGAGCAATCGGCCTCGTCTTATCATTGCCCAAGATATTATTCACTGCTACGCTGTCGGGAGCAGAGTTTAGCTTGTCCTAAAAACAAATTAACAGCAATTAGACCATGATCTCAGACTTTTCCAAAGTAATACTACAGAGAATCAAATTCAAATCCATAAACACTGCAAACCAACTGATGATTATAAAAAAAGGTTGATCGGAATATTCCCTTTGCCATATCAACATCCCAAGAAGATAATTAAAAAGTTAAGCAGAAACTAACACTGATTAATTATCAATAAGCACATTAGCCATTCTCCACCAAATGCTCATAATCACAAATACAAGGGAATCTGTATTTCTCCTAATCAAAATGATTAGGCAATCCGTATTTGTTTCCTAATTCAAACAGTTCAATACAATGGTAAAGAAGACGGAGAGAAACTCACAGCAGGTACGGGACCGTTGGGAGAGATTGGAATGTCGGGCAAGGGAACAGACGGCTCGGAGAGCTTCATCGATCTAAGCTTAAACCCCGAAGGAACGGTTCTCCTCGCAGGTTTTCCGACGTAGAGGAAGGCGGCGGAGCGGTCTCCGCCGGCGAAGCTTCTGGAGGAGGAGAAGAGGCGGGAGGCGTCGGCGGAGGTTCTACTGGAGCTCATCTGGTTGTTGATTGCCGCCATTTTTTCCTATCAGAAGTTTTCAGAAACTCTCTCTTCTTTTGGTTTTACAACAGTGGGAACTTGTGGTGATTATAAGGAGGGGAGACGGAGGAGTTATTGATGGTGGAGGATGGACAGTTGGCGGCGAGTGGCGGTGGCGGAACTGTCGAAGCGTTCGCTTTTGCCAGCGGCTGCGCTCTGTGTTCTTCGTATTTGTGGACCTAAAACAAGAAAGACGGGGCAGACACGAGGGAGGTTTGGGAGTTCCGCCCCGATTTCTTCGCCCACGCGCGCAGCGCAGCCGTCAAATTGCCACCCACCCCGGCTTAGTTTTTTTTTTCTTAGGAAAATATTTGGAGGGACAAATTTTTTGACAAGGGTGCAAAACTTTACCTCCTTAAGCAAACAAGTCCCTCAACTTTTGTTTTTATCGAACACACACTCCTATCAGGCTATCACCTCTACTCAAACAATTTGACAACTACTCTTGCCAACTAGGTTAGAATTCAAACAAGCATTTAAGTTAGACTATAATCATGATTCATGAGGCTATTCCAACATGAACCTTACTAAATCCACAAGTATAATTCATCACAATCAACAATAACATAACCTTCAGATCGAATTTGCAAAATAAGTCGAGCCACATCTCTAGCTCTTCATCCAAACACCATTTGACATCTTTCTCTTCACATCGTAACTCATCGGTGGCACCCACGCTAACCTCTCTGTATCAACAAATGCACACTTACTCTTACATATGTGCATTGCCCAATTCAGTTCAACTTCCCATCTATCCCTCACACATGCTCCTAACCAAATAAGTCCGTAAAAGTCTACTTCAAAACAAAATACCCGGCAAACAAGTGACTAAACTTGTACTAATGACTAAAGGAGGTATTTTACAGTAATTTATAGGGTTGGTGCTTTAATTTTTTGCTTGTATAGTACATACTACAATTGGATTTGTACATTTAATGTTATGGTACAAATTCAGTTTGTATTTATATTTTTTTTACATATTCTTTTTATGACACAAATTGATTTTATAATTTATATTATAATATCATTTGAACTTATACTTTTTTTGATAATGGTGATTGCATTAAAATGAAAAAGAGAATAACAAACAATCTATGGGGCAGAGGTTCGCAAGGTGCAGAACCAAAACCGCCGACAAAACAAGACACACCGATAGCAGAGACAAAGAAAAAAGAGAAAAGAAAAAAGAAAGAGGGGAAAAAAGAATAGGAAGGGAGGGAAGGGCAAAAAGGCCAAGAAACAGAACCACCCGGCTAGCTAAATGGGCCGAACCATTCCTGCTAGCTTACAAAACATCAACAGGAGCCCACCCCAACAACAGCAGAACAAAAGCAAAGCAAATCCAGCGAAACTAACAAGGCAGCAAGACCAAAAGAAACAAAGCAGGGTCTCGGGCAAAACTAGGCAACCTGCAGCTAGGAAGCGAGCCACTGCAAACCTCGATCCTTGTCCACCATGCCAAAAGCAATGGCCCAATCAACAGCGTCTCTAAGCACTTTGCGAGTGACAGCTCTAGAATGCAGACTACTGCCTTGGAAAATTCTTCTATTCCTCTCAAGCCAAACCTGCCAGCACACTGCATGAAACACCCCGAAAATGAACCAGTTATCCGCACTACCAGTGGAGCAAGTAGGCCATCCTCTAATGGTAGCGAGAATGTCGCTAGAAGGAATCTCGACGGATCCGCAGGCCATCTTCAGTCTCCTCCACACCTCCTTAGTGAACAGACACAAGGCGAAGATGTGGTTGATATCCTCCTCCTCCCGGCCACAAAGCTGACACCTGTTTGCAAGATGCCAACCTCTTGCCTTCAAGTTATCCAAAGTGAGAATCCGTTTGTGCGCCACCAACCAAACAAAGAAACAAATCTTTGTAGGAATGGAGCGCCTCCAAACGGACTCAACAGGAAAATCGGGAACACCTGTATGCTCCTCGTCGGTCAAGAACCTGTACATGGAATGAACAGAAAAGGAACCTTCCGGGCATGGAAGCCAGACCGGCCTAGAAGGCCCGTTAGTCACGCGACTAGAGCCCAAAGAATTAAGGAGATCCATAAGAACAACCCTCTCCCTTTCCGCCCCCCCCCCCTCTAAGATTATTAAGCAAAGGAACAGACCAAACGATGTTCTCACCTGAGAGGGATATGGCATCGGAGACCCTAGCGCTCGGGAAGCAAGAAGCGGCAGCAACCCTTGGGAAAGCATCAGCGAGCACAACACCTGGGATCCAACAATCGTGCCAAAGGGAGACCCAATCACCACTACCGGGTTCAATACTTGTCATTCTCCAAAAATTAACATAATCCTTAGAAATATTCGCCCACACCGACCCAGAGAAACCTTGCCTGCATCTCGCAGTGCCCCACTCGGAAAGATGGTTTGGATATTTGCAGGAAACCAAACCCCTCCACCAACTCTCCCTTTCCGAAGCGAAGCGCCACAACCACTTCCCCAACATTGCTCTATTAAAAGCCCCCAAGTCCATAATGCCAAGGCCGCCCCGAGAAAAAGGGGCTTTGCATGTATCCCAACTAATCAAAGGCATTTTTTGTCTGTCGCCCGAACCACTCCACAAAAACCTTCTTTGGATACCTTCCAGACTTTTGATAATCGCAGAGGGAGCACGGAAAAGCGAGAAATAGTATACAACCTGGTTTGAAAGAACCGCCTTTATCATGGTCAATCTGCCTCCGAAAGAGAGGTACCTGCCTTTCCATCCTTCAAGCCTCTTCCTGTACTTGTCGATAATAGGATCCCACAGCGAAACTGCGTTAGGCTTTGCCCCTAAAGGAAAGCCCAAATACCTGGAAACCTCATTACTCCAGTTACATCCAAAGATAGAAGCAAAAAAACCCGGATCCGGAACATCCCCAACAGTGAACATAACGGATTTATCCAGATTAATCCTAAGCCCCGTGACCGCCTGGAAGCAGACAAGAGTAGCAAGGATGTTTACTACCTGCTCATACTCAGCATCACAGAAAATTAGGGTGTCGTCAGCAAACAACAAATGAGTAACCTCCCCCCCACCGCTCTCCTCATTCATGCAAAAACCATGAATTTTCCCATTTGCTTTAAGCCTCAAGATCATAAAAGAGAGCACATCCATAATCAAAGTGAAGAGCCCCGGGGACAAAGGATCTCCTTGCCTTAAGCCCTTCTGAGAATCGAAAAAACCTTTTGATTCCCCATTCACAAGCACAGAGATTTTCGGACTGCACATAGTACCCTTGATCCACTTATGCCACTGATCAGAGAAACCCAAGTGAGACAGGATATGGAATAGACACTTCCAGTTCACATTATCGAACGCCTTTTCAATGTCCAACTTGAACATCAGACCCGGTTTCTTGCTTTTCTTTCTGCTGTCAAATAATTCAAAGGCGATTAATCCGGCATCACCGATCTGCCTACCCGGAACAGAAGCGTGCTGGAACTTGGAGACAATCCGAGGAAGGACGCCTCCCAACCTGCGAGAGAGAACTTTACTCACCAGCTTATTGAAACTCCCCATCAGGCTAATAGGACGCAAATCCTTAATATCTTCCACTGAATCTTTCTTAGGAACAAGACAGATGAAAGAGTGAGTGATGTTGTAGGGCAGAAAACCAGAATAAAAGAACTCCCCGAACGCATTCATCACATCAGCCTTAATCCATCTCCAACACTTTTTATAGAAATCCCAAGTAAACCCATCCGGTCCAGGAGCTTTGCCACCATCACACTCTGCAATACTTTCCCAAATCTCCACCTCCGTGAAAGGCCTACTAAGCAAAATGATATCAGCCTCGTTCAACTTGCTGCAGTCGTAAGCACTGGGGAAAGGACGAGATTTAATATCCTCTCGAAACAGGCCAACATAGAAATTCACAATCCCATTGGCAATATCGTCCCTTCATTCAATGAGAGCCCCATTGATTCTAATACAACCAATGCGATTCACCTTTCTCTTGAAGTTCGCCATTCGATGAAAAAACCCCGAATTCCTATCTCCTTTCTGCAGCCACAGTTCCTTGGACTTCTGCCGCCACGAAATCTCCAAGAGATCAATAACCTTCCCAATCTCAATGAGCAGGCACTCCCTCTTATTGGCCTCCTCATTCATCAGGCGCCGCGACTCTTCCAGCTGATTAATTTCATGCACTTCCATAGTAAGCTCCTCAAGCTTCTTGTTCATATCCCCGAAGACCTCCCTGTTCCAGACCTTAATCTTGCTTTTAAGAACCTGTAATCTCCTAGACCACCGAAAAACCAAACCATGACCCTGAATCTGCTCCGCAAGCCAAGAATTTAAATCAGTGAAAAACCTGCCGTCCTCCAACCACATATTCTCGAACCTCCAAGGCCTGTGAACTCTGTCACTCTCACCCCATCTTAACAACAGCGGATTGTGATCCGAAATAATACGCTCAAGAGCAGAGAGAGAGCAATCCGGAAATAACTCATCGAAACTCACAGAAACAAAAGCGCGATCAATCCGAGAAAGGCAGTTGTTATCTCCTCCTTTGCACCAAGTGAAATGACTCCCCCCAAGAGGGAGCTCCAAGAAGCCACATTCATCGATCACATCGTTGAATTCACCCATAAGGTTATTATCGCGTCTAGCACCCCTATAGTCATCGTGACATCGCACCAAGTTGAAATCACCCACAATGCATATAGGATCCTGACAATTCTGACCGAGGGCACGAAGATCACTGATAAAGTCAAGTTTTTCCTCCCTCTCCTGCGGCCCATACACCACAACCAGATGCCAAGTCTTGTGCGTCTCATTATCCTGCGGCCCATACACCACAACTAGATGCCAAGTCTTGTGCGTCTCATTATCCTGGAATTTGAACTTATACTTATAACATTAGTGTACAAATTTAATTTATAAATCAAAACAGCAATACTTTAAATCACAATAGAAGAATGTCTCACACCAAAGAGCATATCCTCCATGAAATATGCGGGATGAATGCAAACAAGTAAAAATGAACTTTGTCCCAGTTCGTGGTGAATAATCCAGAATTTTACACGTGGAAATAGTAGCCAGCCAGCCAGCTGGCAGGAGCCTAAAAAGTTGGACTTGCTCTTGCACCATTTCAGTGTTGACCGACGGAAGCGACGACTGGCGCGTGTAATCCAGGCGCCATTCGGGCAAGTGGGGTTCTCTAGCCAAATTCCCTCATTTTATTTTTTGAAAATTTCGAAACAAATTAGTTATTAGTGCACAAATGAATCGCCAAAAGTACAGTTTACCGTAGGGTTTATTGGCTTAATTAAGGCAACAGTAAAAGAGCAGCCCCGTCCTTGGATCTACGCCACGTGGTGTTAAACTATCATCCAACGGCTACTACGAACTCATTCGTGACGGGACTCTTATAAGGCACAAAGCAAAAGGAATATTCCCCCCTCCTCCAGTACAAAACTTCTGGCCCATCTGAGCTGAACGACGCCGTTTGCATAGACGCTTTTGGTTTCCAGGAAAATATCGAAGAGGAAGAGAAGCACGTGCAACTCACGCCCCCGCTAAGTGCTATCTTCTAAATTTTGTTATGGAAGCGTGTTGTTTGATTTAATCACTTAGATTATCATTCATTCATTATTTCGGCTAATCTCCATTACTCTTCTAACTTCATTCAACGAGGGGCGCATCACTTGTAGAGGATGAGATTTTGGAAATCGATTCTCATAGATCCTGGCAAATATTTTAAGAATGTGTGTGTGGATATGCAAAAGGAAATAATTCCCATGGAATGAACCATTTACTAATTAATGCATACATAACATAGCCTCCAAATGCCTAATTGTCCACCATTTGTCATTTTAGCCCTCGATTTGTCCTTTTAGTCCCTTGGTTGTGGACAGTCTAATTAATACATACTTGAGTTTTGTTCCTAATGTGAAAACCAATTGACCACGTAGCTAGTCCCTTGGCCTTTTGTTGACCAGCCTAAAGGTATGGACTCTAATCACTCTATATTCCCAGTGACCACATCGGTTGTGCCGTGCGTACCACTTTGTCGGGTTTGTCCCGTCTATAATGTTATATCGACATGATGCATAGGGATAGGGTCGGGGATTGGGATTTTTAGTGGTGTGAATGGAAATAAAAGGGGAAAGTTTCAAGAGAGTCTCTTGAAGTACCATGTTGGTAAGATGTGGGAAGGCATGACCTCGAATTCGATCGATTTGATATAATATGTGGTTAATTGGTTAAATTGGTTTGTGTAACCAAATGAACCAAACCGAGTTGAACCAATTCGAACCGAACCGATATGGCGGTTGGAATAACCAAACCGGTCCAACTTCCATGAGGCCGAACCAATGCAATGGTTGAAATATTTTAACCGAACCAATGCAATGGTTGGGGTGTAACCACCCATATGAAGAGTTGCCTCCCTTCAATGCATCCCTTCATTTTCTATAAATAGCACCATACCCCTTCTAGTTTTAACTACGAGTTTTACATGGATTTTTCCTGGTACTGAAACTCTGCCAAAATCCAAAAACTAGTTTTTGCTACATTCTTTTCAAAGAGAAAATAGAGTCAAGTGTGGTTCTCGCTGTTTTGCTGCGTTCGATGGTTTCCGGGGTTTGAGGTACCGCTACGCCGGAAAAGGTACGTCCTTTCTATCCTGGGAGGAATCATTCCACAACCTTGGGTACTTGAGGGGAATAAGATTCTTTAAGGAGAGATAGTGAATTCTATCGGCTAGGACGCTTGCATGTGTCTTTGCATATTTTCTTAATCTTATGTGTTTGCTTGTGTTGCAAGAAAATAGTATACGTGAACAATTTCCCCAACAATTCCAATTAGGGTGTAAGTTTCACCCTCAAAACTCATTGACTCGTCTCGTCTCTGAGGGTCGGGACGGGTCAGTTTGTCTATAGGGTCAGTTTAAGGACGGGTCAGTTTTTAACCTTATAAGAGTCGAGACGAGTCAGGTCAACTTAGGGATATGTCACTTTTTGACCCTATGACCCTTAGCAACAACAAATATCTCATACCACATTGGACCTCTTTGTAAAAAGTTTTAAAAGTTTAGGTACTAAATTATAAATAAAAAATGTTGGATACCGAAATGTAATTTTACCATCAAATTTTAAGGACTTATTTGTAAAAAATAAATTTCGGGTACTAAATTGTAAGAAAAAATAATTTTGGGTACCAAAACGTAATTTGTAAAAAAATAGTGTGTAGATTAGGATCGACCCACTGACCTGACCCGACCCGACCCGTCCCGACCCTTGACGGTCAGACAGAGTAAAAAAAAAAGACAAGGACGGGATGGGTCAATTATACATCTTGACTCTTCAAAAGCGGGTCAGACAAGGACAAGTCAGGACAATTTTCAGCTCTAATTCCAATTCCCACGAGTGTGGGTATCTGGTCCAACTTTCATGGGTTAATTAATTCTCAACTTTGGGCTTCCAAAAGTGTGGGCCTTTGGCCCAATTATTCCATATTGTGGTATTTTGGGCTAATTGTGATTCAGGTGGACAGCCTACCACATCAAGCAGAAATTAAACTAAGGTCGCCGTGGCATAGCATCGTCGCCCTTCCAGTCTCCACCGCCGATTGGAACTTGGAAGGGGATGGCCTCAGCAATTCCAGCACCGGCAAGGAAGAAGGGCTCCGTCCTAGCTCCGACCACCATCCAGTCTCTCAGCCACGACACCCTTTGCGTTCTCTTCTCCTGCCTCGACATCTTGGACCTCGTCCGCTGTTCCGCCGTCTGCAATTCATGGTACCTCTCTTCGCTCCCCGACAATACAAAGTAAAGCATGGTAAAAAAAAAAAAATCGAATTAGACGCATTCAGACTCCTGGCCGAGCCCCATTTCAGTATTCATTCTTTCTTCTTGGTGATGTGTAGGAGCTCAATAATCAAAAGGTCGAAGCTTTTGCAATCGTTGTACCTGAAGCAGATGAGGAGAAGCGGCAGGGACGTTTCGAGCCGAAGCAGCGATTCCTTGGAGGAATCGATGAGTGCGTATCTGGAAGAGCTAGCCTTGGAGCGCCATAGGCGTGCGTTGGTTAATGGTTCTGTTGTAATTGACCAGTGGAAGGGTCATTCAGCTGGGTAATCGTTTTCCCTTTTAGTTCTCTCTCCCTCTCTCTTGTTTATGTTTGCTCCTCCTGATTTCCTCTTCTCTTCCCTTGTTTCATGAGTTTCTGTTGCTGTGTAATCTTAGGGTGAATCAATGCAGAATGAAAATGGGAATGATTCTTACGGGTGTAGGGGATAAGGTATTTGATCCTTATTCTCTTCCTAGATGGATTGTTTTCTTTGATATATTGATGATGTTTGCTTGGGATTTATCCTGTTTAGGTGGCCCATTCTGTAAAACTATCTTTCTTTTGACTTCCAACCTGTATGGGGATACCAGGTTATTCGTCTTTGGTCATCAGAAAGCCTAAAGTGTGTCGAAGAATATCCAGTTCCTGATGCTGTCCGTCTTCTTGACTTTGATTTTGATGAGACCAAGGTAACTCAAGCGTGCTGTGGTTCCCGAGCTCATTTTGTTCGTAGGATCAGCTGCTCAGTGTCATGTTAACCTAACTGTTTGAAGCGTGACCAACCATTTTCTGAAGATAGAAATGGTGTGCACAATGTCTATCCTGACGGCTAGTGGCCATTATCACATTGACATTGAGTTGTAGCCATTTCTGCATATTCACTTGTGTGATTTCAATCTCGCGTTCAAGGTTGAGCTGTTTCTCTTTTCTTTTAGCTTTCGTCAGAGTTGACAATCCCCAATGTGCTTCTCTGTGTACTTAGTCCATACTCCATAGTTAGGTCAGAGTACCAGTAAATTGGTTGTGGAAGAACATTGCTAAAATATGAAATCAATCGGTGAAATGCTGTTGTTTTGCTATTTAAGCAATGATTTGGACAAATGAGCGTGAGGATAATGGTTCTGAGTTCTGACATAACCAACATGATCACATTTCCCTCTCATTTTCTTAAATGTAGGTCGTTGGTTTATTTGGTACTCAACTAAGTATATGGAGGCGCAATGGTAAGAGAAGCATATTTCCCTCCAAGGAAGGCACGTTCAGCAAGGGCTCGTGCATGAGGTAGATTCTGTGTCTACTTATCTCTGAAAGTCAAAATGCATTTTGGGCAAAACCAAGAGGAATTGCTTTTCACTCCTTGAATGTGTATGCTGGTTTTCTGTTTTGTATTGATTCACTTGTGTGCTTGTTGGTAGGTACTTCGATCCAGATGCTGTGGTTGGCTGCGAGGACGGGACTGCCCGTGTGTTCGACATGTACAGCAGGCAGTGTTCTCGGATTATCAAGTATGTACATTGATGTCTTATCTTTTCCTTTTTGGTGATCCAATGTGTAAACCTAAAACCACATATTCTCTTTTGACTGGAGGCTGTATCTTATGCACAGTTTGTATATTCCTGTTTCAAAACTCGCAGGATGCATCCTGAGGCTGTATCTTGCTTGTCTTTGGGCGACGATCAATTGATGATCAGCGGTTCCAGTTTGGGAAGAATTACAGTATCAGGTCTGTCATTGGATGAGAAGATAGCTACACTCAAACCAACTGATTCCACTGGTATTGCTGTTTTCATCTCTCCTTTTTTCACCCTGCCTCTCTCTTGATTGTGCTGGAGCCTTATTGACTGCTTTCTAACGGTTCTATCTTCCCTAATTCTTGCCGTGAAAGGCATATCTAGTTTATGTTTCAACCCAGAATCTTCTCTAGTATTCTGTGGAACTACTGCTGGATATGCGTCATGTTGGGATCTTAGGTATGTAAAATATGAACCCATATTTCAACAAATACAACTACTAACTAAAGAAGTTGTCATTCATGTCTTTTCTCCGGCATATAGATGATCGCTGTGCAATCACTTTTTCTATTTAGAAAACTGAAACAAACACAATGATAAGAAAATATGCCTGTGTTTGCTTGCTGCTCCTGCTGATATTTCACCTCATCAAACTTTGCTTGCTCTCATTTCAGGAAGATGAGACAGTTATGGAAAAGACGTGTGAGTCCAAATGTGGTATATTCTATGCACCACCTGCGCAACGACAGTTCAGTTCTGGTGGTTGGGGGAATAGATGGGATTCTACGTGTTCTTGATCAGGACTCTGGAGAAGTTGTTTCGAGGTATGTGATGGACAATGCCGCTGTCCCTAGTAGTTTCGAATATGCGCATGGAGTAGGCGAGAGGAGGCCTGGTAAACGTATACCTAAAGATACCCAGATCGATGGAGTATCAAGAAATGCTCGACCCCCCATTACATGCTTGGCTGTCGGGAGGGAGAAGGTTGTTACGACTCATAATAGTAGGCACATTAGGCTTTGGACGTTCAAGTGTAGGAGAGACTAGTCCTAGTTTGTATAGCTCAAAGGTACTGCTGCCCTCCTCTACCTTTGCAAGGAGTTATTGTTGTCTAGTGTTGTATTGTATCATATCATTGAACAAGATATATGCCCGAGCCGTGCTCGGCCACTGTGGAGTACGCACTCGTATTATAATTATTGTTTGCTGATCCATGAATCAGGACGCTGTCATAATGAAGTTAGAAGTTGTCTACAGGCTTCATTTCTCTCAGATGTCACAAGGTTGCAAAAGCGGGAGGAGCGATCTATTGGTTTAAAATACACCATGAGGAAAGAGTATGTTCTCATCGTCTATCCGTGAGTTGGATCAAGCATTGGAGGCAAGCTTAACCTTGTGAGATCTTTCCATATGCGGGAACTGAAGTTGTACATTCTATTGACAATCTGAATTGCTATTTATATTAGTGCTAAGAATGGAAGTTGTTTTCCAAACTTATTGATCCTTTTAGCTTTGTTGCGGTATAGTACAACATCGCTGTGTACAGTACATCACACATGCATCCTCTTGTATAAATATCCCTTTTCATGGTTCCTACAATTGTAAAGAAAGGCGAGAGTGCTGTCATATTACACGTTGCAGCTGCAGTACTGTCAGCCAGCCAAAGATTATCCCGTAGAATTGTTACTTGGATGTCGACGAACGAAACTATGCCTGTAGTATATCCCTGGAAGAGAAGAGAAGTCTGCAGAATCGTCACCAGACGTGGAAATTAAGCACAGTGTTGGCCGAGCTGCAAAGCCAGAATCAAGTCAATGGCTCTAGGTACTCGGTTCTTAAGCAAAGCTGGGGGCTAGGTTGCAGCAATTCCCGTGCATCACAATTCACACGAGCTTACCTCTTGCTGACAGAAGCATCGTATATACCAACTAAGAACCACCCACAACTCCATTGCAACGACACAAAAGAAAAGGGGGGTAAAAGCTCCAACTCGATCTGCGCAGGGATGGAATGGTTCTGTAACAATATCTTCCAAATTGAAGACACCCTCAGGCTTTTGGGCAAAAAGATCATTCCAACTAGAGAACTGTGCTAAAAATTCACAGAATGTACCTCCAGAAACTGGAGCTAAAACACAACAATTTGACCAAGTTGCCAAAGCAACAGTCAAGTAATGCTTAACCTCCATATTTAACCAAAACCTACCCAGGCACTATCATCAAGATCCCGTAGAAATGAACCAACTCAAGAAACAACTGAAAGCTATCTTTGGAAAACATAGATAGCAAGACACTACTATAACATCCGTCTAAACTTACTTGGCCTTGCTCACATCAGCAGTCCTTCTTTGGAAACTTCTGTGGTATCTGCGTTTTTCACATCAGCAGCTCTTTCTTCTTTGGCAACTTCTGTGGGATCTCCGTTTTTCACCTCAGCAGCTCCTTCTTTGGCATCTCCCTTTTCGCTATAACGGAGATCGGGATAGTTCCTATGGTTTAGAGAGTGCAACCACAAGCCTACAACTCCTTCCTTGTGTTCCATGGATGCAATGTGCGGATATATGTGCTTCATTTTGAAGTCTTCAGCCTCTTCCTCATACTCCTTCATCGAAACTTCTTCATGGGTGTCTTTCCATTTCTGGTTATACGACGTGAAGAAGCACTCGTCCAAGTATAAACCCACCTCGGGAGCTGTCGGCACGGTAAGCCTAACCATCCTACGACAAAGAATACAACATGTGTTAGTACTTAAATAACACTTGATATGCATAGCCAATTGCAATGCAAGAAAACTAGAGAAAGCAAAAAAGAGGGAGGGATTTACTTTTGTAATGCGGTTTTTATCAAGGACTCAGGTGCGGCATTCCTCATGATTGCCACAGCTAGCCCCATCATCTTGCGAATCTGGTGGAGCATGAAGCTCTGCCCCACGACTTCACACTTCACAAAATCCATTCCATCAACCGTGACCACGGTGTTTGCAGTGAATGAAACAATGTAGCGCCTAGCCGAAGGGTCGTCAGCCGTGATTCTGGTTGTGAAGTTGTGAAAATTATGACTGCCCACATAGTAACCCAATATTCTATTGAACCTCTCCCTTTCTTCCTGCCCATAACAGAACTCACTCCCGTTTGCCACTGTTTCATCTACATCAATCACAGCGATGGCATCCGCTTCTTTCTCCACTACTTCTGATGATACATTATCATAACCAGAATTCCCATTGTCTACACACACTGAAGCCTTCTCCTTCATATCAGTTTCCATTTCAGCATTCCCTGCAGTCAGCATGACATCTTGAACAGGCACTTCAGTGTCTATTTCACTTGTTTCTCCCCTACCGTCCAGCAAAATGTCTGACTGAGAAGCCACAGCGTCCCCATCATCTAAACACACAGTCTCCTCCTTCATCTCAGATTCTATAGACCTATTCCCTTCCTTCAATAGAACATCTTGAGCAGGCAATTCAGGTCTATTACCTTCTTTCAGTAGAAGATCACGCTTATTACCAACAGCTCCAATGACCTTCCTCCCCCTCTCCGAACACCCCAGACACTTAACAAGCTCAGACCCAGATCCTAAACTAGCCATCACGCTCTCCCTATCACGATGCGACGATTCATCAAGAGCGAAAACAGGGATCAGATACACATACCTCCTCCTATCGCAGAACTTCTTCGCATTGAACGAAGCAGTCACCCGCTTGTGCCCGAAGATACGAAACTGCGAGGGAAGTTCCGAGTTCAGCCGCTCCACGAGCCCAGGAGGATCGATGTAGAACCGCCCAGAGATGACCTGCCCGACGGCGCTCACGCCCTTATCAGTCCGCGCCGATCGAGCCCAGTCATATCGCTTCGGACACCCGCGGTCCTGTTCGGGTACGGCGCCGGCGCGGAAAAGGGCTTCCTCGAGGTCGCCTTCGATGGTTTTGGCACCAGGGTTTTTCTGCATCCCTTGGTAGCCCACGCCGCAGTAGGCGAAGAATATCGCTACCTTCCGCCGCTTGTACCTCGGCCTCCTGATCCCGGCGTCGGCCGGATCGCCGCCGGGAACGGTTGTGGGGGCGGTTTCTTCATCGTCGGAGGTAGTGGTGGTGGACATTTTCGACCGTTTGAGTTCTGGCTCTTGTTGTACTGGCGGGGAAGATGTGATTTTTGAATCCAAGCTTTCCATTTTTCTATCTATTGCGCTCTGAAACGGGAAGCCTCCATGAAATAACTGGGACGTTTCAACTCTTTGCTCGGCGGCGGCCCGGAACTTCTTTCTGGTGAGAGAGCCGCTGGATTCTTTGGTCGCTCTAGTGGCGCAGGCGGCGGAGGCCTTGGTGGAGACGGCGGGGAAGGTGGGAGTGTCTAGGGGAATAATAAGTAGGATGATGGTTGAACGGCTCTCTGGTTTGGGTATGTGAGATTGAGAGAAGACTGAAGAGGAAGCAGATTCACAGCTTCCACTATTTTGAGAATGGGTTTCTTTCTGGTGGGGACGTAGGGTTACTAGGTGGAGATTTCAAAATGGCCCACTTGGTTAGGGCTTAGGAGTGGGCTTGTTTGCGAATGGGCTAAGATAAGAATTGGGGCTGGGTTTTTCAGTTTTAAGTTTTTGCTTGTCCGAATTTTCACTTCTAATTTTTTTTTACTATTATCAAATTTAAGGTATAAATCTAATAATTACTTACAGACCGTTTGGTACCAAATGAATTGAGAATTCATTTCATTGTAAATTGAATTACCATGTAGAATTTATTGTCAAATGAAATCCTATGTTTGGTATGTTATATTCAAAATCTTTAGAAATAAAATGAAGTGTCGTGTAGAATTCATTGTCAAATGAATTCTTCTGTTTGTTATGTCATATGTATAAGTAATTTAGTTAATAAAAGAGGATAAATATGTCATTCTATTATAATTAGTAAATTCTTGTGGAATTCATTTGGAAATTCCATCTCAATTCCTCGGAATTGCTATAACTAGTTCCAATTCCGTAAAATTCAAAATTTAGAATTGAAAATTAATTCTTTTTAATACCAAACACGAAAAATATTTCATTTCAAAATGAATTCCTTGGAATTCATTTATACCAAACAATATGTTACTTCATATCCTAAATATTGAATTTTTCTACATTTGATCTTACGTTCCCGCTTCCGCTCTATGAATTGGTTACCTAAGGACATACTAATAGTCTCATATCTTTTCCTTTCTATTTTTTATTTTCCTCCGATAAAAAAGCAACCTTCGAAAAGGATATCAAAACTTTCGGTTGAATATGCGGATGGAATAATTTTCTATAAGCGCAAAAGGATGGGATAATTCTCAATTATTACCAATTTTTATTTTATCAAGTCATTAACTCATTATTACTTTATTTGGAAATTTTTTGCATACCATCAGTTTTAAAATCAGTTTTGTACCAGCTATCCGATAAAGGTTAAACATTTCAATTTCTCAAATACATTTTTAACATGACCGTTTATAAATGAAATTTTTACAATAATATGTTATATGCATTTTTAAAAAAAGATTTACCGTCATTGTGCAATCATCACTCTTGAGGCTAATTTCGAACAATGCTTTCTCACGCTTTATGCTATAGCTAGATTAGTCTTATCAACACGCAAGTGCCTTTTTCGGTTTTCCACATATGTTATAACCAAACCGAATCGATCCAACCGGTACAACCAAAACCCAATCACAAGACCAATTCGGATAAGCTATTCATTCATATGTTGACAGCCGGGTAGTCAATTAACGGGTTGAGCAGTTAACCGTCAGAACCGAACGAACTGGACAACAGGCTCTAAGAATCCCACCCGCCCCAATGAAAAAAAAATTAGAAGGTAGCATTCGACTCCCGGGTTCAATAATCAAAAGGTCGAAGCTTTTGCAATCGCTGTATCTGAAGCAGATAAGGGCAAGTGGCGGGGACGTTGCAATTGTAAGAGGTAAAGTCAACACTCATTTAAGATGGGAAAACTAGGATGGGAAGCTGAAAGAGTGGCCACAGGCGTCAACGTGGAGGTTTGAATGAGGATTTCACTAGCACGACGCAGACAATTGGAGGGTGGCGACAAGCGTCAATGTGAAAAGCAATAACTAAACTAGAAAGCAAGTTGGAAATTAACTTTATGGAAAAAATGGAAGAAGCTACGGGAAAAACTACATGAAATTTACTATCTAATTACTTGAGTCAACCAACTTATTAATCAATTCAATTTCCATTCAGTTTATCGAGATTATCTCTAAGGTGATAGCTATCTCTTTGAATACTCACTACATACTAAGTAGTCAATTAATTGTTTACTTTTTTTTTTGTAATAAACTAATTAACTACCTAGTCTAAAGTTCGATAACTCCTATATTTACACTTTGGTAAAAAAAAACTCCTATATTTACATATTTTAATAACATTATGACAACAATTTTTTTTAATGTAACAAGGTGTGTCGATTACAATTATCGAAGGTGTGTCGGAGGTCCCATGTTCGAATTTTTTGTACCAAAAAAATGTGGGTTCCTCACAAAAATTTCGGGCCAAGGTGTGTCAGGTGACACACCTTCCTCTAAGGTAGGTCCGCCCTTGACAACATGTGTGACCTTTTGGTGCTATCAACTACTACTATTAATTTTTCTCTCAATGCTTCTTAACATGTAACCTTTGAATACTTCCAGTCCCAGCGTGAAGCGCAGGCAAGAAGACTAGTTATTAAATAATTGTAATGAGTATTTTTTGTTGTTCCCTTGTATTGTTTATTTTATTTCCATATATAGGCATTTCTTAACTAAGACCATCTCCAATGCCTTTCAAAGACCCATTACATTTTGACGTGACATTTCATTTGCCTCTTCCATGGTTGTGGTTCATATCTCGGAAAGTGGGATCTTCCACTTACACTCTGTTTCTGAAGGACGGAAAGAAAACAGAGGGAAAGGAAAATTTGAAGGAGAGGAAAAGGAGGGGAGGGAAGATTTGGAAGGGAGAGAAAAAATTATTGGGTAATGTCTATTTTTTACCCAAACCTTTTTCAGATTCTTTTACTTTAACCAAACCTATTGAATTCCTAAAAATTATCCAAACGTTAACTCTCCGTCAACTTTTCTGTTAGTAATGCTGACTAAGTATGACCATAATGAGTTGAATTCCTACGTGGCGGTTAGAATACCATCATTTACTATTTTTAATAAAAATATTATAAAAAAACAAAACAAAATCCCACCTCTCACGTGGACGAAATAAGTAACGGTAACAGAATGAATGCCCAGACTTTGATAAATTATAATACGTTTGGATAATAAATAGAATTTCTATAGGTTTGGTTAAAATAAAAGAATTTGAAAAAGGTTTGGGTAAAAAATAGACATTGCCCAAAATTATTTTATGGAGGAAAGTGAATAGAAAAGTAGGAGGGAAAAAATATTGGGAAGTATGATAGATGTGTTATTATATTGGTTATATAATAGTAAATTAATTTAATTATGTGTTAATTATATTTTTATTACTTATGAATAGTGGATCATACTAATTCTTTCTTGATAATTTGGTTCATTATTAAAAAAAAAAACTTAATTTAAAATCTAGTTCGTTTTAACTCGATTTAAAAATTTCTAATAAAAATTATATTACCTCTAATGCACAAGATGACATCCATCTATACAAATTTCAAACTCTTACGCCGTTTTTTAAAGGAACGTAACACACTTACTTTTTTTTACGAGTAACACACTTACATTTTGCGTAACATTTTAATGTATAGTGCAAAACAACGTCATACATGAGGCAAATTACCTATTTGTTATGATTCAAATGTCAATCCAGTCCATTGGTATGATCCAACCGTATGGTATGATATTAATAATAAAATAAGATAACATTTCATAATTATCTTTGCCCATAATTATCCATCATTATTGTACACTATGGTATATTCACCATACTTACTTTCATATTCTATGGTATAATTTAACGTATTACCAAACTTTATCACCATGGTATGGACTAGTAATAAATGGCTCAATTGTTTTTGTTCCAAAGTATATCAAAGTGGGTGTTATTTGAATAGCACAATTAATCCGTGTAAAAAATTAATTAATTAAAAATTGAAATGAAGGATATATGGCTTGATAAAATTAATTGAGAAATATGTTCGTGCATAACAAATTCTCATTTATTAAAAACAAAGTTACCAATTTTTTTTAATATAAAACTAACGTGGAATTAGAAATTTAGAATAGAGAGAAATAAGGGAGGGGAAGAGGAGAGAGGAAAGATATACGTAAAAAGGAAAGAAGAAAAAAAAAGTGGGCAAAGTATGTTTTCCCTCCGATTCGGAAGTGTGGGTGCCACAGTATTTTTTTCTTTTCTATTTTCTTTCCTTCGGTATTGTTTGAAACTAAAAAACGGATGATTGTTTCTTGGAACCCCAACTTTCCCTACCTTTTCTCCCCTTAAAAAACACAGTGTTAATGAAAATAGCAAATGGAAGAGCAAGTGGATGGAGAGTGCTCTCCATCTCACATTTGATGTTATTTTTTTTCAATTTCATTTTGTTTTGAAATTATACTTTTTAACGACAAATGATAAAAATGGAAGGCCTTTTTTTTATGTTTGTGTACCTGATGTTGTTTTCCTTTTTATTTTCATTTCCTTTTTTCAAGTTATCATTTGTTTAACATAAACAAACTTGATAGATTAGAATATTCATTAAGTCTAGATTAATTAATTTTGTAGATTTTGAAAGTTTAATAAGAAAACAAAGTTCACGTACGCTTATATAAATATAAAGATGTCACACCTACATTCAAATATAAATTACATGACAAATCAACGATCATTTATTTTTTTAATAAATTATTAAAGCTATATTATATTTTTCAATGAATTAGTAACATTATCTCATTATTGGTAATTAAATAATTACAATATGTTATTTTAATTATTTAATTACCTGACCTTAAAAGTTAATAGTAGTTTAGGAATTAGGAGGCTATCAGATTCAGAATGGTGCTGGAAATATTATACAGGCCTCATTTCTCTACGATATCAGATGATTGCAGGAGAGGGAGAAGCCATTTTGACAGTTTCTGAAAGTAGAAGCGTTGGGTCATAATTTCTATGTTTTTTTTTTTTGTTGAGATTTCATCCAAATAGATGTTACATCTTTGATATAGCAGAAGAAGGCTTTTGGTTTCCCGCTGATGGGTTGCTCTGTGCGCTAATGCAAAGTGTTAAGTGGTGGCGGGAAGGGGATGAAGTGAAAAAGTTGCCTTTTGAAGTTAACCTACTACATCAGTGGGATGACTGACAATCATATGCATCCTCTCCCATATATTAACGGGCCAACTGCCAAACAATTTGACCAAAGCACAAGAGCGGCTGATGTGAAGTTCGCATTGTCACTAGTGTGCTGTTCCATAAATATCTCAGGTCTGTAGTTTAACGGACTCGTAATATTGGAAGAGCCACTAAGGGCAATTA